TTAACTTTAACTTTTTAACTCGTTAATGCCCAGCCTTGGTGATTGGGGTAGTTTAAACCCCCCAAAATGATCGGATATTTCACTAATGTATAAAATATATAATAATTAACCCTTATGGCTTTTATCGTATATAGCACAATTCATCCCTAACGCCAGTCAAATTTTCACTTATTCTATAGCTCGTATAGTCATTTCTACGAYAGTAACAATTATTGAAAAATAACATAAACCGATCTGTTTGTCGTTCATTTTGGCACTTGTGCTTTATTATTGCCATTAAAACATTAATTTTTTCTTTTTTTCCTGTATTAATTTTATCAAACACCAACATTTTACCTATTATAATAGCTTTTTCTTTTAATAATTATCAAATCATATGTTTAACCATGTAATCATGTACTCGTATTATTAATTATTTTGTATTTTAAAAATTGTARTATTGAAATAATGGTATAATATTATAATAATATTTTTTATTTTTTATGTTTAAAGTTGTATTACTTTTTTATTATTATATCCACGGCGCCAAGATATCCACGCACGGAAAGCCCAGCGCCGATATGTCTTCGCGCCGAAACAGCCGTGCCGAAATGTTTGATTCCCGTTTATTGTAATCGTTTTTTCTTTCTTATTATAATTTGGATTTTGTTGACGTTTGACATTCAATATAGTACTTATATTACTTATTAAATGTATGGTTTCATAATTTTTTTTTTTTATCTTAATATGTTTTATAATATCGTATCTTATAACCATATTTTAAAAGTAGTTAATCATTATTTTTTAAATTATCACCAAGTACACTTTACAGTGCGACTGTGTTACTTTCAATATAATTACGCAACGATAATTTCATATTTTTATACATACATAATATATTTAATATTCATAATACATGATAAGTAGGTATAGAAACGGTATTTGTATAAATATTCTTCTTAAATTTAATCTTATTTGATTAGGTATGAGTCCTTGAAGAATATATTTGCCATCAAAGGTCATATAAGACATAATAGTTATAACATTACATTTTATTTTATTTTTCTGGACTTATATATATAGCATTTAAATTATAATTATAAATTGTATTTGAGTGTACGTTGAAATCTTTAATTTTTTACGACTGGCATTAAATGTTTGACACTTTTATATCTGTTACTAGATTGATTTATTAGAACCACTCGTTAAAGGAAGTATTTGATTAATCATAAAAAA